CAGGTTCTGGCGTGACAGGCCAGGCGGGCAGAGGGGACGGTTGGGTCAGGTTAGGAAGAGCCTGAACCCGAGCTGTGGGCATGGCCAGGGGTGTGACAGAGTCCGGGGCAGGACCCACGGGCACAGCGATGGGGCCGCGAAGGCAGCTCCCGGGCTACGTGGAAGCGGAGAGTGCTCGTTTCTTTATGGAGTGGAGGAGTGTGGGGCGGTCACTGCTTTGAAACGCTGACTGGGACAGCAAATGGGCCTTAGCGTTTGGGCCGCCTGTCACCCTCGGGCGGTGACGGGCTGGCGTTACACGATGAGGGAGCAGATCTGGGGTGGGGGGGAGAGGGAGGAAGGACCTGGCACCCGAGCCTCGGGGACGAAGGTCACGTTGTGAGGACAAGCGCGTGCCCGCCGGGTGTGGCTGCTGCCCGCAGCGTCCAGTTCCGTGGCCGAGGGCTGCTGGGTTATTCAGGGCCTGACTCTGGCTTTGGTCCTGACTGGCTCTGCCATCTCAGGCCAGCGTCCGCGTCCCAGCGAGGGCGCCAGCCGGCCAGGTCCCTCGAGCTCCTGCGTTGCTTTCGTGATCAGTGTTTATTTCCTAAAAGTGATGCTTCCTGCACGGTGATTTTTGTTTTTGGGAGAGGCTTGACCTTGACCTTTAACCTACTGTATTTTCTGCAGATTAGTTGCCTTACTGGCCTTCTGGCCCCAAGACGCTCAGCATCCTTCTCGGCGGACAGGAAACGTGTTATTTTGAGAACACTTCGGTTCTGTAATTAGAGTGAATAACCCGGGGATCGATCAAGTATAAGCCAAGGTCGGCCGGGACGTTGTTCCGTTACGATCTAGGAAAACTGTCCCCCGGGAGGCAGAGTCTGAGCCAGGGCCTAGCAGGGCGTGGGGAACCCACGAGGGCTGAGGGAGGGGCTATGCGTGGCCGTGGGCTTTGCGGCCACCTGACCTGGCCCCGGAGCCACTCACCCTGGCTCAGGTGCTACCTCGGGTTTCCCTTGACAGCAGAGGGGTCCCCGGAGCCTGCCACGTGGAGCTGCGGTGAGCATTCACCGCGCCACTGAGCACACACCCGACCTGTGAGCACAGTCATAGCAAATAAAGCCACGTCACGTCACGGTGCACCTGCAGAATGCCCTCAGGACCCAGAGTGGCCGCGGCAGGTGCCGCTGAGGCTGCAGAGCCGCCGGCCTCCCGTGTGGCTGCAGGGAGCCCAGGGCGACGCCACCGGCCTGGACGCAGCTGGCACACGCACGCTCCCGCCCGGCCGTCCCGCCCTCCGACACTTATCCAGGGACAGAATCCACGAGGCTTTGTTCATGTTGGTCCCTGAGTGGAAACTGCCGGACGTCCGTCCCCGGGGGACAGGATCCCGGCCGCAGCAGACGAGCACCGGGCACGGTGCCCCTGCCCGGCCCTTTCTTGTGCGCTGGCTGTGCCCCCTCCTGCCCCGGCCGCTGCTGCCTCCGCCAGCGTTGGGGTTGGGGTTAGGGTCACATGGCCGAGCCCAGCGGCCACAAGGGGGAGGAGCTGGGAAGACACGTGGCCCTTGGAGCCACCATGGCCCATTCCTTCAAATTCGTCACTTTCCTGACAGATTTAGCGTTTTCCGAAGCCAGAAGTTCCGTCTATTTTAAGTATCTCGGGCTTTTTCACTGGACCGCGAGGACGCGGTGGTCGAGGCCGAGCCGTCGGAGTCCGGCCTGCAGCGGTCTCACGGGACCGGGCACTGCCCGGCCGTTATCTTTACAAATCACGATTAAAACACCCTCGGGCTCCCAAGTCACTGGTTTTGTCGGTGGGATTCAGGATCGTACGGCCGTGGCATGAGCTTGTGTAGACGCGGCCGAAGTGAGTTTGCGTGTTCTGCCCGATTTGACCCAAGCGAGCTTTGCTGTTTTTCACGACCTCGTACGGCCGGCTCGGCCCTGGCACGTCGGCGAGGCCCCGAGCGTCGCACGGACGGTCACTCAAATGCTCGCTGAGCCGAGCGTCCTGGTCAGGGGGATGCTTCGTAAGTGCTGGGACCTGGATTGGAAGCTGGTCCTTTCTGGTTTCAGAGCCAGTGGACACGTGAATCTTTGGCCTGCGGAGAGCAATGAACAAACAGGTGACCAGGCTCCTTGGAACTCAGCATTAAAAAAAAAGCTGTCAGAGCGAGAGAGTTAATTCCCAGACCTTAAGGGGCAGGAGGGCGTCACCTACCGCGTGGGGAGCCGCCAGCAGCCGGCGCCTTCGGGCGGGGACTCTGGAGTCGCGCGCGGGCTTGGGGTCTGCAGTGGGAACAGGGCCCCCCGCGGCCCCCCGGGGCCTGCCCTGCCTTGGTTCACTCCGCCGTGAAGCGGATGCGTTGTCACTTCTGAGGCTGCCGTGTGGGATGGGCTCACGTGTTTTTGAGAACCGAGTGCGAGTCAGACCTGCCGGCGCCATCGTCCTACGTGCCGCCTCCGTTGAGTCTGGCAGCCCCGCCGTGGGTAGAAGACACGGTTCCTCGTGCCGTGAGCGCCAGAGGAGGAACTGAACTTGCCCGCAGAGCCCGAGCTCCGCAGGAAGCACCTTGTCCCCCGCCGTCCCACTGTGGCTAGATGAGGAGGCTGTGTGGGCCGGAAAAGCAACCTTTGGAAACAAACATTAGGGTACGATTATAATTTACTGGAATTGAATAAGATAAGAGGGAGAATAAATTTCAACTGGCCGTGCCCGGTTACTGTGTAACCAGCTGGGGCCAGACGCTGCCAATGTGCTGCATTTCGTTACTCTACGTCCCTGGGAGGCACTGGGCCAGCCAGTGTGTCATGACAGGCCCGGCGTGTGGACAGAGCCTGGGCTCTGGCCCAGTCAGACCCTGGGTGACGCTGGACACACTGCCCATGTGCCGTGTGCTCTCGGTTCTATCTTTTTGGTCCCAGTTTTCAGAGGGGGACGTCAGTGCTGCAGCTCGGGACGCTGGGGTGTGCGTCTGAAGTAGCACCGACGTGGCAGCTCCGAGCACACACCGCGCTTCTCAGTAAACGCCACCCCCCGCCCCGCATTCTCTGCTGGAGGACCGGGCAGTCGAGCCCGAGGCGGGCGGCCCAGCACAGGGTGGACCGCCCTCTGAGCACGCGGCTGCCCGTGAACGCAGCGCCGGGTGCTCCCGAGGTTAGAGGTCCAGCGCCAGCGGAGGCCGCGTGCTCACAGGGTCCGTTTGGTCTTCTGTTGACCAGTTTCCTGGCAAAAAGCACTCAGCGGGGAAAGGTGGACGCAGAGGAGACGGGCCCTCACCAGGCCTGGCAAGCCGAGCCCCGCCCGGGTCCGCGGGCTCCTGCGTGGCCCTTTCCTGGTCCCTGCGGGCGAGGTGGCCTCTCGGGATCCAGAAGGGTGCTGTGACCTCACACCTTCAGAGCAGACACAGGCCAGGCTCGCACCTGCTCCTAGGAACAGCTGCCGCGCCATGTGTGATAAGCGACGTCACTCGGTGTTTTTCCATCCGGGAAACGACAGCCCGTGACCGATCGCCGGCTTTGAAGTGTCCGCAGCTTTCCACTCAGCGTCCAGCCACGTTACTCCTGAGATCTCAGTGATTTCCACTGTGCCCCACTGCAGCCTTTGACCCTCCCCGGGAGGAAGCAGACGGACCGCTTGGCCGGTCGCGGGTGCCAGCGAGCCCCGGGCATCAGTCGCCAGAGTCTTCCCCGTGCGTTCGCATCCTGCTCGCTCGCATCGTCACATGTCACATGGAGCCACCGCTGGTGTCGTGTCCCCGGCTGTAAATGGGGGGGCTCCCTGTGGAGTGGGCGGAGCCAGGACAGCCGGCCCCAGTCAGGAGGGTGGGGGTTTGTTTCCAACTGCATTGATTGTTGTGCGGCCACCACCATGTGTGGCGCTATGGGGACAGACCCTCCGCCCTCAAAGGACCTGAGATGCTTTAGGACAGCGAACGCTGGTGAGAGGCAGAAGCGAATGCAGTGCCCCCCGGGAGCGGATGCTGGGCGAGCGGGGACCGTGGGGACCGTGGGGGCCGAGGCGGCGGCAAAAACCCTGGCCCCCGTGGCCAGGGCACCTCCCAGCGTGCCATGTGTCCTCGTCCCTGTCGACATTTCCTGCTGCCGTCCCCGGCCCTCGCTCGGCCCTGCCCTCCCGGAATGGCCCTGCCACGCTCAGCGGCAGCTCCAGTCACCGCGTGGCTTCCCGACGTGTCCCCGTCTGTTCTCCAGACGCCCCTTGGTGTCGCTCAGCGTTTCCCAGACAAACCTCCTCGTTCCCTTGTCACTCCCCGTCCTGCCCTGAGCGGCTCTCTCGGTCCTGCGGGTGGGTCTCACTCCTGGCTGTGACACGTCGGGCCTGGAGACCTGCCACCGCGGGCCCCCGCCGCCCCTCCAGCCAGCCATGCCGCCTCGCCACGGTGGCCTCCCGGCCTCTGCTTTGCCCCTCTCCAGACCACTCCCCACGCTGAAGCCAGAGCGATGTTTCTAGAACACGAGTCTGGAGGGCCCAGTCGGCCGTCCTGAGCGGTTAGGGATACACGGTGACAGGCACGTGCCGGCCGGCGGCCTGCCCCTCGCCTGCTTCGACGGGGCTGCCCGGTGGGCGGGTCCGTGTTCCGTGTGTCGTCCGTCGTGCAGCAGGTCGGCTGACAGCCCGGGCCCCACACCAGCTCCCCGGGGCGCGGATCCAGCCCCCTCCGCCCTTGGTGTCGGCTGCCGCCCCTGTGAGGAAGGTGACGTGCCCGCCGCATCCACAGTGCAGCCGGCGCCGTGAGTGCCGGCGTCCCGGGGTCCCCCTCGTGTCCCCGGTTCGTGGGGCATCACGAGAGGCTGTGACGCGGCTGAGCCGGGCCCCGTGCGGGCCCGCGCCCGGTGTGGAAGGGGCTGACTGAGCTGCTGACCCGCCGGGTGCTCTGGACAAGTCGCTTAACGGCTCTCTTCTGCGTCCCCATTGTAGAGTGGGGACAGCGTGATGCCAGGTCTGCGTGGGGACGGGCGAGCACCCACGCGGGGTGCCCGGGGCACGCAGGCGGCATGAGTGGCGCTCGGCGGCGTCCCCCGCGGGCGGCTGTGCTGGGCCCTCGTGAGACGGCTCATCCTCACCTGGCCGGTGTTCGGGTGGACGTGCTTGGCTGGGAGCAGGGGAGGGTAAGGCGTGTCACACATGGACGCGTCTGCTCTGTCTGTGGGGAGAAAGAAGCATTTATTTTCTGAGAAAAGAGACGCAGCTGTCGATCCAGTGAACGCTACAGATGACGCCTTAACCCTTCGGTGCAGGAAGCGAGGGTGAAACCACGGGCCGGCCTCAGTGCTCGCTTTCGAATTCATTCAAGGTCAAGGTTAAATGGTCTGAGCCATTCGCCGGTGCAGTAGGCAGGTCAAGTGTCTGCGGAAAGAAACGATTAGCCACAAAGGGCTGCAGGCGGCTGGTGACTGCACGTGAGCAGCCAGCGCATCACTGAAGCACACGCAGGGGCCCGTGGCTTTGTCACTGCTGGATTCAGTGCTCACTCACACTTCCCAGCCCGAAAGGCATCGAGGAGGCTAGGTCTTCTCACACCCGCGCGTTTGCCAAGACCGCCGCGAAAATCATCGCCGATCGTGGATCGAAAGCCTGTTCATACCCAAGTAACCTCAGAAGCCAAATGATAAATATTCTGCAAAAAACTTTACGCAGCGACGAAGTGTCTTCGTTGGGATGCAGATGCATTTTAGTGCAGTTGTTACAACGTGGGGCAGGATCTTCAAGTCAGTGCGCTTGGGGCACTTGAAGGCCCGAGAGGGGCCCCGTGTCGGGGGGGCTGGGGCCACCCGGGTGCGAGACGGTTGCTCTCACCAGCCCCCCGGTCTGCGGTGGGGGTGCCCTCCCGGGGCGCTCCCAGCCCTCATGTCCGTGACGGCCCTGAGGTGAACCCGGCTGTGTCGTGTCCCCTCTCTGCGGGAGCAGCCGAGGGAAGAGGTGGGCTCCGGAGGGGGGAAGCTCAGGCCCAGCGGCCCTGTAAGTACTGCCCCTTTTGAGTAGAGATGCAGATTCTTGGCAGGCCAAGTTGCATTTGGGGGCCCGGTCTGGAGGGTCGCCTTCCTGCAGTGCTCACGTCACGTTCCCAGGAGCCCAGACATTGCCGGTGGTCACCACATGCGCAGCACACGGTCCCTGTCGCCTGGGGCGCGGGCTGAGCAGCGTGGACAGGGCGGGCGCCTGCCTGGGGGAGGGCTCAGGGGGGCCCACGGCCCCCCAGCATCTGCTCAGGAACGGCCCGCGACAGTGCCTGGCACACACAGGCCCCGGTGGGCGGATGCTGGCCGCCGGGCGTTTCTGATTTGGGTTTTATGCAGACACCTTTCTTATTTTATTCACAGAAATCAGATTCCGAGTTGTTGAGAAATATATTTAGCTCTGTGGTCATGAAGTTGTTACTTAGTTTGATTTTCTGTTGCTGGAGTAAGTTGTTTGCACAGATGAGCTGAAGAAATTCTGCCAGAGCTTGTATCTTATTCTGGCTCCGGGCGAAACCCTGAGTGGCAGCTCTGCTCCGAGGCAGCCCTGGCACGGCGAGCCCAGGAAGCACCACCGGTCCCCTCCCTGTGCCCTCCCGGTCCCCTCCCTGCGCCCTCCCGGTCCCCTCCCTGTGCCCTCCCGGTCCCCTCCCTGCACCGCTGTCTGGCGGAATTCAACAGATCTGGTCCTGGGGCTCCTTAAACCACCCGAGGTGTCTGAGGGGCTGCCATGATTTTGGGGTTTTAATTTGAGCACTGTCAAAGTCTTATTTAAAACACGTTCCCGTCAGCTTTCCCCGCCCTCACAGACCCCGAAAGCCCTGGGAGCCAGCGGACCACCCCTCTCCCTAGAGCCGAACACAGGTAGGAGGCGGAGATGTGCCACTCTCGCTGAGCACGGGCACCCCCCCGTCTCCCCCGAGGACAGACACCCCCGCCTGTCTCCCCTGGCGGCCCCGCCACCTGAGAACTTCCAGAAGCAGGTTCGAGATGTCGGTGCCCTGTCACTCAGCACTCGTGGTTGGCCCCCAGGGCCCGCTGGCACACGGGACTCTGTTATTGAACCGATGAGTGAAGGTGTCGCTCGGAGAACCAGGCCACTCACGTGGTGTCTTTGTGCCCCTAGGAGGACTGGAATGACGTCAACCCGATCAAAAAGAAGGACTTTCACCAGAGTGACGGGGACGAGAGAGTGCACGACGTGGAGACCCTCCCTCCAGGTACTGCGCAGTGCGGGCGGCCGAGAGGCCATCTGCCCGCCGGGGGCGCCGGGGCCGACGCTGGGGGGACGGCTGCAGCGCAGGGTGGAGACCGGGCTTGCGGGGTCCCCAGGGCGGAGCATGGGGTACGCGGGGAGCGGGTCCGCGGGCCCCCGGAGCTCTGTGCTGGCAGCGGCCATCGGTGGCTGTGGAATGAGTTTACCAGGAGGTGATCAAAATTTCTTAAAAGAAAAAATAGAACGAAGTAGAGAATATAGGATGCTGTGTGTCGGCTGAAAACAAATTTTAAGACTTTTTTTAGAGTGGTTGTAGGTTTACAACAAAATTGGGCAAAAAGCACAGAGTTTCGGGGCCCGGCGCCCACATGGGCACAGCCTCCCGCCGTCAGCGCCCCGCCCAGCGGTACGTGCGTCACGGTCCCGAAGCAGCCTTGACGCGTCGTCACCCAGAGCCCCGTCGGGTCGGGGCCGCGCTCGGTGGCCTCCACCGGGGGCAGGTGTCCGCCATCGCACGGCCACCCGCGTTTCACCGAAACCGCCCCGTGCTCTGGCTGTGCCCTCCCCTCACCGCCGGCCACCACCAGGCCCCCGCCTGCCTCCGTGACCTTGCCCTTGCCAGGAGGTCCTCGTGGGCGGACCCACGCAGCATGCGGCCTTCTCGGATGGGCTTCTCTCCCCTGTGCGTCGAAGGTTCCTCCGCATCTTTTCTCTGTCGACAGCTTGTTTTTTTTTTCGCGTTGCTGAAAAGTGCTCCAGCCTGACGGGCCAGTTTGTTTATCCGTCGCTGACTGCGGGAGGCCTTGATGCCTCGCGAAGTTTGGCGGTTCTGGATAAGGCTCCGCAAACATCCGTGTGCGGGCTTCTGTGTGGACGCGCGTCCGTTCGCTGGGGTCAGTCCCAAGAGCGGCGACTGCTGATCGCGAGGCGGGCGTGTGTGTTTTTGTCAGAAACCGCCAGGCCGTCTCTCCAAGGCCGCTGTGCCGTGTGCGTCCCCCCGGCCACGAGGGACCTTCGCTCCGCGTCCTCAACGGCACCTAGTGCCACTGGTGTTTTCGGTTCTGGCCTCCCTAACGGGTCGAAGTGGTTTCTCGTAATTCGCATGTCCCCTGATGGCAGGGACGTGGAGCGGCTCGTCCTGTGCTTGTCTTACGCGATGTCTCTTCGGGTCTTGGGCCTGTCGGTTCACGGAGTCGCTCGCTTGCTTTTCAGATACAGTTTGCAAATAGTTTCTCTTAGTCTGTGGTTTGTCATCTCTTTCTCTTGCCCGTGTCTGTCCCAGAGCTGAAAATTTTAACTTCGATGAAGTTTAGCTTTATCGGTTCTTCGATGAGTCACGCCTTTGATGTATCCGTGTCTGAACGTCATCCCCCTACCCGAGGTCCCTTAGATTTCTTTCCTATGTCACCTGCGGGGAGTTTTAAAGTTTTGCGTTTCATGTTTAGGTCTAAGATCCGTTTCGAATTAATTTTCGCGAAGCGCGCGAGGTCTGTCTCGAGTGCTTGTGTGTTTCGTTTATTTTGCACGGGGCTCTCCAGCTCCGTCAGTGCCGCTGCTTGCAGAGACCGTCTCCGCTCCTCCGTCCCGGGTTAGCGGCGGACGCGCGTGGGCTGCGTGTGGACGCGTTGTCCCACGCCACGGGCTGTCCGTTCCTTCCCCAGCGTCACACGTCTGCCTTCAGCTGCGTATCAGGTCTGCCGTTGGGGGGCGTTGGGCCTCCAGCTCCGCCCTTCCCCTTCGATGTGCTGCTGGCCGTTCTGGCTTCTTTGCCTTTCTGCGTAAACTTTAGAATCAGTTCGTTGCTGCCCACCCAGTAACTTGCTGGGATTTCGATTTGCCTCGTGGGGAATCTGGAGATCAAGCTGCTAAGGGCCACCGTCGTGACAGTATTGCGTCTTCCTGCCCCCCAGCTCTGAACAGAGAACGTCTCTCCACTTATTTAGTTCTTTTTAAACTTTTTATCAGAGTTTTACAGTTTTCCTCATATAAAGTTGGTATCTATTTTGTTCTTTGTATACCTAAGTATGTCATTTTGGGGGTTGCTCCTGGAAATAGTGTTGCGTTTTTAATTTCAAAACCCACTTGTTCATCGTTCATGTTATAGGAAAGCAATTGACTTTTGTATGTGAACCTTAAACCCTGCCACCTGGTTTAATCCCAGGAGTTTCTGGTTGGTTCTTTCAGGTTTTCCGCATAGACATTGACGTCACCTGCGAACAAAGGCCGTGCTCGCCTTTCCCTTCCCGGTCTGCGTCATAGCTTTCTTGGTCTCCTGCGTCCGCGAGGACTTCGATGTCGAAAAGGAGACGTGTGCCTCGTGACAGCTCCCGCTGCCACGCTAGGCTTAAGCGTTCGCTGTGCGTTTCTTCTAGACGTTCTGCATCAAGCTGAAGAAGCTTCTCCTCTGTGTCTAGCTTGATGAGTTTTTGTCACTAATGATTGCTGGGTTTTGTCAAATGCTTTTTCTGCGTCTATTAATATGATCATGGGACTTTTCTTCTTTAGTATCTTAATGCGATGGATCACATTAATTGGTTTTTACATGTTGACCCAGTCCTGCAAGCCTGGGATGACTCCTACTAGGTCATGGTATATGATTTTTTTTATACATTGTTGGATTCAATTTGCCAATATTTCGTTGAGGATTTTTACATGCTGGTTTGTAGTGTTTTTTCCTTGTAACGTCTTTGTCCTGCTTTGTTATTAGGGGGATGCTGGCCTCCTCGGATGAGTTAGGAAGTCCTTCCCTGTGCCAGAGAATTATTATAATTTCTTCCTTAAACGTTTGGTAGAATTCGCCAGGGAACCCTCCTGGCCTGCTGCTTTCTGTTTCAGAAGGTCGATAATCATGATCCAATTTCTGTAGTAGATATCGATCAACCTAAGGCATCTGTTTCTTCCTGTCTGAATTTTGGCCGATTGTGTCTTTCGGGAGATCGGTCCGTGCGTCTGGGTCATCGCATTTGCCGGCATGGAGATGTCCTTTATTGTCCTTTTTATGTCCTTGGGGTCCGTGGTGAGACCCTTATTTCATTTCCGACCCTTGTCATTTATGTCTCTCTCTTTAATTCTTAGTTAGCCTGGCCAGAGGCTTATTGATTTTATTGATCTGTTCAAAGAACCATCTTTTTTTCTATTGATTTCCTTATTTTTTTTTGTTTTTGGTATTTCTTAGACACCTGTCTAATTTCTGTTACTTCTTTTCTTCGGCTTACTTTTCATCGAATCTGCTCTGTTTTGTTTTTCCTGGCTTCCCGAGGCGGAAGCTCAGAGAGCTGATTTGGGGTCTGTCTGCTTTTCTCATTCCGTCTCTGCTTTTACTGTATTACAGTTGTGTTTTCATTTTCGTGGAGCGTATTTTGGTGGGGAGGGGCATTCATCCCGCTTGGTGTTCACTGAGCTCCCTGGGTCTCTGGTTTGACTTGAATTTCAGGTCACTATTGCTTCAAATATTTCTTCTGTTTCTTTCTCGTTCCTGGGCTATTCCCATTGTACACGTGTTACGTATTTCATCCTTATCCAACAGTGCTGGGTTATCTGTTCTGTTTCGTTTCGTTTTCCGGTCTTTTTTCTATTTGCTTTTCAGTTTGGACGTTTCTGTTTTCAGGTCAAGTCCCGAGATGCTTTGGTCACCTGCGCCGTCAGCCGCCGAGCCCCTCCAGCGCAGTCTTTGTGTCCTTGGCGTCGTTTGTGACCGCCAGCGTTTCCTTCCAGGATTTTCGTAGAATTTTCATCTTTCTGCTCAGGTTCACCATTCGTTCTTAGGCGGCGGCCGCTTTTTTCTCTTATTAATCGCAGTCCGAAATTCCCGGCGTGGTATTTCCAGCATCCCGGCCAGCCACATCGGCGTCTGGTTTTGATGCCCGCTTTGTCTCTTTTACTGTTTTTTTTTGCTTTTCGGATGCCCTGTAATTTTTTCTGGAAAGCCGGACGGGACGCACAGGGCAGGAGGAGCTGCAGGAGGTGGGCCTTGCGCGCGGTGGCGGTCAGCGTGGGGGACGGACGCCGTCTGTGATGACCGTCTCCCGGGGAGCCTGAGGCTCTGCACCGGGGAGCTCAGACACGCTTCTCCGCTCCTCACCCGCTCGGGTGGGACGGGGCGGCTGGAGTCGCCCGGGGCTGGGTGTTTCCCCTTCTTTGCGGGGAAGACGAGGACGGGCTGTGGCTGGGCGTTTCCTCCCTCCCGCCGGGCTGGCCTCCGCTGAGCGCTGCTAAGACGGTGTCTCTCCAGGGCGACAGAGCGTCTGCTCCGGGTCTCCGTGGTTCCCTGTCCCCTGTCCCTGTCTCTGCTGGACGCGGCGGGGGCTCTGTCTCCAGGGTTCGCTGCGAGAACCTCATGGGGCACCGGGCGGTGAAACTCGCACACGGGCCGGTCCCGTGCGGCTGGGCCCTGGAGAGTTCGCCTCCGGGCTTGTCCACCGTGACCCCCAGGCGTCGTCACCCGCACGGGTTCCTGCGGAGGCCGCTCCCGGGGGGAGTTGCGATTCTCTGTGGTCATCTGTCGGGACAGTTATGGTTCTCAGTTGTCGCCTGTCGGTCTCCCCAGGTTTTGAACCAGCAGTTCGCCCTCTGACCTGGCTTCTCCGAGGGATCTCGGAAGCGTGGATTGTTCGGGCTGCTTGGCTATTTCCCTGCTGGGATGGGGCGGTGACTCCCAGGCTCCTTACATGCTGGGCTGGAAACTGGAACTTGGCTCACAGAATTTTTGCTTCGATGGGACAAGGAGTTTATATATTGTTTCTTTCTGGGTTGGACAGGCATCTCCCCAGCGAGGCCAGCCCCCCTTTGTCTGCACCCTCGTCATTGTCCCAGCTGCACTAGACACGGGTGTGTGTGTGCGTGTGCGTGCGTGTGTGTGCACCTGCGCGTGTGCATGCGTGTGCTTGCGTGTGTTCATGTGCACACGTGTGAGATCCGCCCCTCTCCCCTTCTCCTGGATGAATCACGAAGCCCAGAGTGACAGTCCCTTCCTAGTAAAGCAGGCTCGGTGGTGGCGACTCCCTGATGGAGCAGTTGGCTGATACGCAGGTCTCTGTTACGGGAGCGGGGTGTACTCCGCTCTGCGGGTCAACGAGGGACTTCCTGTGGGTCGTCTCCTGTTAAAAATACCAAGTGTTCTGGTGGCTTTTAAGGCTCACTTGGAGAGGGAGGGAGAAGCCATCTTCAAGGCATAGACTGTCATCCTCGGTTCACATCGGCCAGCGGGGCACTGACCTTCGCTTTCGTATTCTGAACTGCCGTGCAGCTGGCTTTTTACCTTCGAAAAGCCGGGAATGTACTGATCATCTTATTTTTCGAGTTATTACTAATAGCAGTCGATGCGGGAGCTGTGTCCTTTCACTGAACAAAGGATTCTCTCTTTTTCTTTTGTGTTGAAGACTATTTTCTTACTAAAGCAGCCCGCGCATGACTTTTTCTTTTAAAAATTATTTTCTTATGGTTAAGAAATATATTTTCTCCGGCAACGATGGCACAGGCAGAATTTTGTGGTTTGCACACTTTCTGCCGTGTGAGTGGTGTGTTCGGACGCTCGGTGGCTTCCTCTGTTCTCGGTGTTGAGATGTACACCGCTGAGTGACAGGAGGTGGCACCGAGCTGAACAAGGAGCCTGGCGTCCTCGGCATGGCCACAGACCCAGCGATGGCCGAGGGAGCCAGAGCCGAGGTGGCAGAGAGGCCCCGGGAGACGGCCTCCTGCGGATTGGACCGTGCGCCCCACGAGCAAACGTATTTTGGGTGTAGATTCTCCCCCATTGGGTTCAGATACTCAAATTACACACGTTCTCCTGATCTGCTGACAAGTTCAGTGTATCTTGAACCAGACGTCACAAAGGCTCGGACACAGCTGCCACCTTCCTCCTGCGCCCGGAGCACTGTCCTCCGTGGCCCCACCTGGGAGACTATGGCCACAGAAGCCCAGGTTATCGCGTTAACTGGACTTCTTGGCCTGCCCGCCCTCGTTCGGGGTAGAATCGGGAACTTCGGTCAAGTGCGTCCGCGGAGCAGCTGTCGCCGGGGGGGCCGGGAGGCTGGGGTCCGGCTCCGTTTGTGTGGGGAGCTCGGCTCGGGGCCACAGGCAGGGGGCCGGGCCAC